ATACAAAAACTTAAGATGATTTAAAACTTCTATAAGATGAAAATATGAAATAATTATCGTATAACTCAATATTATCTTGCATGTGTAACTAGATTTTGAATTTCACCTATTGACATAAACTTTTTAGTGCACCTAATTACAAGTGTCGTTATAAATGGACAAATTTCAGTTTTCTTTATAATTTTTTTTTTAAAAAAAATCTCTTACCTCTTTCTTTTTATTGGACAGTGAAGTATGTAGCAAGCTCTGCAGATGGAAAAATTCTATCACAATCTGATGATGCTGTTGAGTTTTCTTTAATGGAAGGTAAAATACATGTTAGAGCTACTTTTTACATTCTAAGACTTATGTTGCTCGGTGTCTTCAAAAATATTATTTATCTGTGTTGGATCTTCAAAAAAAGTTGTGCATTTTTGAACCTGACATGGGCGCGACAATATTTTTAAAAGGTCCGAGCAATATTTCTAATACAATTTTCATTTTTATTAGGTCATTTATATCCAGCCATGAAGAAATCTTTAAAGACAATGAGAAAAGGAGAAATAGTTGAGTTAATTGTGAAGCCACCTTGTAAGTTTGATAAGTACAACAATTAAATATTATTCATAAGCAAAAAAAGAATATTTGATTAAATTTTGTCTAATCATTTTGAAGATTATTTTGGAAATTCAAGTTTTGATGGTGATGGAATTGGAATATTGCAATCATCAAATTCCAATTTGATAATTCATCTTGAGTTGATTTCATGGAAAAGTGTTGTTGATGTTATTGGAGATAACAAAGTTCTTAAGAAGTTAATTAAGGCTGGTGAAGGTTATGATCATCCTAATGAAGGATCCCTTGCAAAAGGTAATTAATTTTTACAAATTAAATTTGTTTATTTAATACATGTATAAAATTAAGAAGATTAAATTTGGAATGAATTGTGTGTTCTTGAAGTGGTCTATATTGGAAAGCTACTAGATGGGACTATATTTGAAAGAAAAGGATCACATGAAGAACCTTTTGAATATGTATGTTTAGAAGGTAATTTTCTCCTTTGTCTTGTTTCATCTAAACAAAAATTATAACGATGTTGTTTGGACCAGCTTGCACGTTGATAATGTTGAAGTTAAGGGGCTCAAGGGATTCGTTCATCTGATTTTTTTTAATGAAAATCCTGACTTCGTTACTGTTGTGATAATCAATGCAGGAACTTTTCTCCTTTATCTTGTTACATTTAAACAAAAATTATAACGATGTTATTTGGACTAGCTTGCACGTTTGATAATGTCGAAGTTAAGGGGCTCAAGAAATTCGTTCATCTGAATTTTTTTAATGAAAAATCTGACTTCGCTACTGTTATGATAATCAATGCAGGTCAATTAAATGAATATGTAGATAGAGCTATCATGACTATGAAAAAAGGAGAAGAAGCAATAGTGACTATCAACTCACACTCTATGTTTTATGAGATCAAATTGGTTGATTTCAACAAGGTCTTTTTTTTCTAAACAAAGAATTAACTTTAGTTTCAGAGTGATCAAATTAATGTTTTTTTTTAAAAAAAAAATTAAACTTTTTTTTTCTAATTTATACAGGAGAAACCATTTTGGAAAATGGAAACAAAAGAGAAAATTGAAGCATGTGACAAAATCAAGAATGAGGGAAATGTACTATTCAAAGATGGGAAGTTTCAATGTGCCTCAAGGAAGTATGAGAAGGAATGTAATAGCTTTTCATTCTTGTTTTTTTTTTATTCTGTTTTGCATATGTCAATAACTATATGTCTCAGTCTCAAACAATTTAAGGAACGACTAATGTTTTTTATGTAAGTTGAAATGTATGTATTGTGAATTCCAGGCCTCGAAATTCATCCAATTCGATCACTCGTTCAATAATGATGAGAAGTTTCGAGCAAATACTTTGCGATTATCGTGTTATTTGAACAATGCTGCTTGCAAGTTGAAGATGGGAGAGCATCAAGAAGTCTCAAAACTATGTAGCAAGGTTTATTACTTACCCTTTTCCCTCTTCACTTTTAAGTCACACTTATGATTAAGGTTCACTATGGGTTAGTGGTGTATTTGGGCCGGGCTTAAAAATATCTCGCTTCCGTTAAATCATCATGAATTGAGTTGCTTTTGTTTAGTATTGTCAAGTCCATATTGACAGCTCTAACTATTGAAAGTATCTTTGATCTAATAAATCTATCGTTTTATATAATGTGAAAACAGGTTATAGAGTATGATCCTTGTAATGTCAAAGCTCTATTCAGAAGGGCTCAAGCATATCTAAGAATCAATGAGCTGGAAAAGGCTGAAATTGATATTAACAAAGCTCTTGAAGTTGATCCAACCAATAGGTACCTATTGCTCGGACTCTTCATAAATGTCAGAGTGAATCCGCCTAAAGAATTGCATTTTGGAAAATCTGATACACGTGCAACATGTTTTGTGTCTAAGCAACGTAGTCTACATATGTTATTTATTCGATTTCGTGCGATATTTTTCTTCATTAACCCCTCAGAAATTATTTTTTTCAGAGATGTGAAGGTGATGTACAAGGAACTGAAGAATAAGCAGAAGCAATATACACAACAAGAAGTTGAAATATTTAGCACCATGTTATCAAAATTGAAGACAATTCTTTAGCCAAAAGTTTTATAAACCAAGATGTAAAGTTACAGTAATATTTTCAACGTATAACATTGAATATTTATTATAAAAAAACATTAAGTGAGTAATTCAAACAGCTTATTGTTCGTGAGTTAATTTACTCGTAAAATTAGACGTTCAATTAATTCTTCCGCGTGAATCTTAGATCTCACTATTTATTGTGTATTTATACCTAGTGTCCCCTTTTATTTTTATTTTTAATTGTCATTTTAATTTCTATTTCATTTTTATTATCCATTATTTTTTTTAAAATATCACTTTTCATGCATTGTCACTTTTAGCATGTTAATAAATTATATTTTTTTTATATAAATTAGGAAAAATTGTTTATAATGGACAAATTAATAAATCAAATTAAATGCTATAATCACATTTTGATTTAATTGTACACTGTAGCAAATTGTTTGTCAGTCACCTCTCTCCCTCAAACTCTCGCTCGCCACTCTCTCTCTCTCGCTTTTATACAAACACAAATGTATAACATGCGTTTGTGTTTGTATAAAGCGAGAGAAAATTGTATATGTATACATACATTTTCGTTCTTCTATTTCGCTCTCTCAGATCTCGCTCGCCACCTTCGCCTTTCTCGCTTTTACAAACAGAAATGAAATGTATAAATTGTGTTTCTGTTTGTATAAAGCGAGAAAAAATTGTATATACATATGCAAATACATCTATTTTCGTCCTATACACTTATAATTATACAATACAAATATTTCTCTGCCCAATTTTCTTTTGTCTTTCTCGCTTTATACATACACAAATTATACAATTGCTTATTTTTGTATATATATAACGAATAGACAACTGGTTTCTTTCTAAAGTATAGCGAATTATATAACTATTTTTTATATATATAACGAAAAAAATTATTTATATTTGTTATGAAACACAATTATGCAAAGTATAGTTATAAAAAATAAATATAATTTTTATATTTGCTATACGCAAAAGTTACTCTATTGATATTCATATATTTTTAAAACGCATAACACTGTAAATCAGTTAATATTGATTGATGATAGAGGAGAAGCTACGTTGAAGGAGAGTGTCCAGAAAATACTGTAGGTCATATCTCATTTATTATAAAGTATCGTATAAATAAATATTACTTCAAATAAAATATAATTATGTGTAGCTTGTTTGGTTGGTGAATATTTAAAATAAAATATTTATTTCTAATATTAATACTAGAATATAAGTAAAATAAAACGATTGTTTTTCATAAAAACGTATGGTACAACAATTCGCAACAAATTATGAAATGAACAAAAGTTGCATTGAATTCGTAATAATTTACATGGATTATATAATTATGCCTCGTTATAAGGGAAAAACTCTAATCTCATCATGTAAGTCAATGACAAAATTATGTAATTAAACGTTAATTTCAATTTTTGTGTTTAGATTCCTTAGATCTAGTTCCTTTTGACCTCGTACGTAACATAGCTTCAAATTATCAAAGATGGTTTATTAGGTAAAAAGATAGGAAAATGCACAAGTACTCCTTCAACCTATGCTCAAAATTTCAGAGACACATTTATACTATACTAAGGTTCTATTACTCTCCTAAACTTATTTTATAAGTAATTTTCTACTCTTTTTAGCCTACGTAGGACTAGTTTGAAAAAAAAAGTCAACCATCGTTGGACCCACAAGATAGTACCACCTAGGTCGAAAAGGGGTAAAATATTATTAATAAAATAAATTCAGGGGTAATAGGACCTTAATATAGTATAAGTGTGTCTCTGAGATTTCGGGCATTAGGTTACGGCATTATATTATTTTGTTATTGTTTACTCTATCTATTTAAAAAAGAATATTTTTATTTTTTTTAGTTTGTTTAAAAAAAATGACTCTTTTTCTTTTTTGGTAATACTTTACTCTCTCCGTTCGATATTATTTGTTATGGTTTATATTTTTAGAGTCAAACTATAAATACTTTGACCAACATTTTAAGATACATTTTTCATCATATTAATATGTAAAATATTGTAATATATACCACTTTTCATATAGTTTTAGAATATCTAGTTTTTTTTTTGTTTAAAATATCGAATTAATGTGATCTAATTTACCTTTGAAAATTAGTCAAATTGACTTTCGATAAGCGCAACATGACAAACATTTGCGGACGGAGGAAGTAGCTTTAACTTTCCACATGACATGTTTAGGACCATAAGATTAAAAGAACATTTTGATATATTTGACGTAATTTTAATTTAAAATCACAGAATTAAAAAAATCTTCTTTCTTTTTTAAACTCCGTTCCAAGTCTTGTTATTTTTTATATATGTAACAATGTCGAAGGTCTAAAACCAGCCACGTGATTGAGAAATTTACCAAAATAGTGTCATTTTCAGTGCCAACTACCTCTTCTTTGAACGTTCCACCTACCAAAACTCCAAACGCAAACCATCGTTTTGTATAAATAATAACTAAAAAACACACTCAGTAACAAATAAATCTCATCAATGGCTTTATTTTTAATTATTCTAACTTCAATAGCCCTAATTTTCTTAGCTCATAAACTCTACCACCGTCTCCGGTTCAAATTACCACCAGGTCCACGGCCGTTACCGGTGGTCGGAAACCTCTACGACATTAAACCAGTGAGATTCCGATGCTTCGCCGATTGGGCCCAAACATACGGCCCGATTTTCTCAGTTTACTTCGGTTCACAGCTGAACGTTGTTGTAACTACAGCTGAATTAGCGAAACAAGTATTGAAAGAGAATGATCAGAATTTAGCGGATCGATTTAGAACTAGACCTGCTAATAATTTGAGTAGAAATGGGATGGATTTGATTTGGGCTGATTACGGTCCTCATTATGTCAAAGTAAGGAAGCTTTGTAATCTCGAACTTTTTACTCCTAAAAGACTTGAATCTCTTAGGCCTATTAGAGAAGACGAAGTTACTGCCATGGTGGAAAGTATTTTCAATGACTGTACTAAGCCTGGTATGTTAATTTTAGTATTTTATTGCTTATTGAACCTAGATTTATATGATACGTTATGCATCTTGTATCGAATTAAAGCTCTTTGAGTCTAGTTTTCAATGATTCAAACAGTTCGTCGTTTGGACTTTTTTATGTTCAATTTATTGAATCTATCTATTCATCTGTGCTAACTGTAATGCTTAATACTCTGCAGATAACAGGGGTAAAAGCCTGTTGATGAGAGAGTACTTGGGATCAGTAGCATTCAACAACATTACAAGGCTAACTTTTGGTAAAAGATTCATGAATGCAGCAGGTGAGATTGATGAACAAGGCCAAGAATTTAAGGGCATTGTATCTAATGGCATCAAAATCGGTGGAAAACTTCCCTTGGCAGAGTATGTTCCATGGCTCCGTTGGTTTTTCTCAATGGAAAACGAGGCACTTGTGAAACACTCTGAACGTAGAGACCGGTTAACAAGAATTATCATGGATGAACACACTTTGGCTCGCAAACAAACTGGTGATACTAAGCAGCATTTCGTCGATGCCTTGCTTACTCTTCAGAAGCAGTATGATCTTAGTGATGACACTGTTATCGGCCTCCTATGGGTAAGTACAAGTTGTATATATCTTGTACATGCGCATGTCATTGTGTTTATCTAGTAAACGATAAAGTCACGAGGTTAGCTTCAATTGGTTAAATAACTGGCTATAACTTAGTTTAGGATAGAGATTATGCAAGTGCATTTATGCGATAAAGAACGAACAATCTTTTGAAAATGAATCTCTGACATGATAGAGAACTAACAATATGAAAATGCTATATGTATATTGAGTATGCAAGTACAATGATGTGTCTGTGACATGATAAAGAAGAATCCATATTTGAAAGTATGTCTATGACATGATCAAGAACTAGCAATATGAAAATGTCTATATGTATGCAGACTTGCAGAGTATGCAATGATAAATTGTCTATGACATGATAAAGAATGAACCGTCTTTTGGAAAATGTGTCTGTGATATGTCTAAGAATGAACAATTTGAAAATGTATATATGTACATTGATGTGTTTATGATATGAGTAAGAAGGACAATATTTTGACATGAGAACAAGAACTTTGGAAGGATATTGTATATTTGTTAGCTCAAGGATTTGAAAAGGTTAGGATTTTGGGTATGATGATTGATATTTATTTTGATGTGGTTTCAACATCAACAACATTCCCAGTGGGGTTTGGGAACGGTAGAGTGCATGCAGATCATATCCCTACCTCATGAAGGAAGAGAGGTTGTTTCCGAAGGACCTTTGGCTCAAGTGCAGCAAATCAATGCTGAGAATATAGGACTCAATGAACTGTCTGGCATTTAGTTTTTGCATAATCGTACAAATTGTGTCAATCATTCTCATTCATATTAAATGTTTGTACATTATATTGTGCAGGATATGATCACAGCAGGAATGGACACGACAACGATAACAGTAGAATGGGCAATGGCAGAGCTAGTTAGGAACCCAAGGGTGCAACAAAAGGCTCAAGAGGAACTTGACAGGGTTATTGGATCGGACCGAATCATGTCAGAAACCGATTTCTCTAGACTTCCTTACCTTCAATGTGTAGCCAAAGAAGCTTTAAGGTTGCACCCTCCAACGCCCCTAATGCTTCCACACAAGGCCAGTGCCGGTGTCAAAATCGGCGGTTATGACATTCCCAAGGGAGCCATTGTACACGTGAATGTTTGGGCTGTGGCTCGTGATCCAGCAGTGTGGAAGGACCCGTTGGAGTTCAGACCAGAACGCTTCCTTGAGGAAGACGTTGACATGAAGGGACACGACTATCGGCTACTACCATTTGGTGCAGGAAGGCGTGTCTGCCCTGGTGCACAACTTGCTATCAACTTGGTCACTTCTATGTTGGGTCACTTGTTGCATCATTTTACGTGGTCTCCGCCCCCAGGTGTCAGCCCCAAGGATATCGACTTGACGGAGAACCCCGGAACAGTGACTTACATGAAAAATCCAATACAAGCTATTCCTACTCCAAGATTGCCTGCACACTTGTATAAACGTGTGCCGATGGATATGTAACAATCTTGTTTACTTCTTTTTGCTACGAGTCTTGAATTTTTCGGTACTTGATGAGTTTGTTGGGGGCATTTTGGGTATGTAATGTTTGTTTTAAATTCATATCACCAACTTTATATATTATCTTGCAATAATTAGAAGACAATTAATTGGTGTGGTATTAAGTCCTTTGATCATGCATTTTGTATTAAGGACAAATATCGCCGTGTAAATTGAATGTTGTATTATCTTGTCTTTTTTTCCGTTTTGTTTGTTTACTCCTTCATATTTTTGCGTCGCGTTTCTTATACATACCATTTTTCTAGCTTGTTTCAACAGAGACTAAGCAAGTAAAAATGTAATCTCATAATAAGCAAATATATTACCAAGAATAATGATATATATTGACCCAAAAAAATCATGGGGTGTTCTTGTTTAAGATGCTATTACATTTATATTTCAAGAATTTGTGCAAATATATACATACCCAACGCATTCAAGTTTTGCTTATCTTACAGGACTTGTGAACAAGTTAACAAGATGGGTAGATAGATCTGAAGTTAAACTTTGTCAAGATTAATATTATACATTGTACGTCCAAAGTTATTTGAAATGTATACATGGGGTAAAAAATAAAATAAAAAAGTGGTAATCATTCCAATAGATAGGTTATTTCAGTCTGATCTTATTTGCGTTATTGCTCAATCATTGTATATCTATCAGGTTCGTGTTTGCAATCTAGATGTTTTCGTCAAGTGAAAGGCCCAATGGGTTTAAACCCAAAAAAAAGAATGGACTTAGTTCAGACCCATAGGCCCATTACCATTTATGCCCATTAAGTCATGGGCTTATTTGATCTGATTAACTTTTTTATTTAGGTAAGTTTGATTAGTATGCAATTAATACATATTTCAAGTTTGAAATATTTCTACTTTTCTAGATTTCCAATGTGAATTTTGGTCTAGTCAATAGCCTAACAAAAATGACTATTCTAGTTTGATTATAATCAAACCTCACAATTAAGTACATAATTTTTTTTCTACCAACACGTTATTTTAATCGCTAATATAAAAATAAATTTTACATAAAAACAATTAAAACTATGATACAGTGATAAAATATTTTTTTTAACGAAATATTTTGCATATGAGCGCTATTAAATATGACGTTACCTTGTATTAAAGGTCTTAAAGAAGCGCTTTCAATATAAAGTATAATATTTACATTAATCCAAACTTTAATATTTGATCAAGTTTAAGGTTTGATTTAGTCGATTAAAACTAAAGTCGTGACTCGTGCACTAATCCTGCATAGTCTGACTAATATGCCACCCTAATTTCAATATTATAGACTACTAATTTTTTCTAATTTTGAATTAAAAGAGATACATGCAAACATTAAAATTACAATTTTCCAACATCAACGCCATAGTCTTATAAAAAGAAAATTATATCGTACACTTATATTGACAAACTTGAAATCGTAATTTGATGCGTAAAAATACAAGTAATCGAAATTTTCTTGCCAGTTAATTCTCATAAAGGACTCTTTCTAAAGAATGTGAGAGAACTTTAGATTACGATCTAAAATAAGCTTATGAATATTCACTTGTTATATAGTTTATTTAAATTCATCTTGATTTGATATTACAAAAATTAAAGATCGACTAACAATAAAAAGTAGTACTATATAACATGCAGGGGTCGGTTGGTAGGAAGATGTGATAAATAAAGTCATCGTATGAATTAAAATAATATATTGAGATCGGATTGCGTTTTCATATCAATGCAAGATATATTTATTGGACTCTATGTATTGACGAGTGGAGATTATTAAAATATTAAAACAATCACACAATTAATAATACTTCTAATCAAATACGAAATAAAATATATCTTATAATTTATCCAAAAATTATTATATTTATCCCTCATATAAAACGAACGCTTAAAATTTATATTCTAGATTTTGGAACTAGATGGTCATGATCTTGAGCTTAGCAAATTTATTCAACATTTATTATAATGTCAACATTTGGAAATGGTCAAAATTATGTCATCTGCGTAAGGGTCCGCAGCATTTAATGACCCATAAAATTAGGCCTACAACTTGGTTGCCCATTTACTCATTTGGCCCAATTTGTAAATTTAACCATTCTACCTAAGTTTCTTTAGCTCATTTAATGTTGTAATACTAATTAAGATTCTAGAAAAGTAAATTATGATATGCTCTAATGTTATTTTAGGTTAATAACAACTCTAATTAGTTTGACCCACATCAATTTATTCCGCCTAATGCATAGTCGTTTAGATTTAAATGATATGTATAAACTGAAATAACTTTTGACTTTATTGAAATCTAAATTTGAGCTTCACGATTCTCAATCACTTGGGTCATTTTCAAATCCTATCTTATTTCTAGTTTTACTTCTAAATAATGCAATTTCTTTTCAAAAATCAACAACAATAAGTTTTTCTATTATAAAAAGGGTAATGCTAAATGATCAGAAATTGTAAAAAATTATAATATTTTTTTATATTTTAAAATAAACTATTTTTTCTTCCATTTCTAATTAAAAAGATAAAAATATTAAAAAACTAAAAATAACATAAATAAAATACCGTTCTGACCAATAAAAATATCCAAAAATTCATACTTATAAACTTAATAACCTTTATAGCTAGTTTCTTTCTCATTTAATGTTGTAGTTGTAAGGATTATAGAAAAGTAAACTATAATCTACTCTGATATAATTTTTTTATTTGATAATATGGATCAGGGTTAGTTTGATGCACCTTAATTACACTTTATATTATATCTACTGCTACTTTTTATTTATACAAATCTATCAAGTTTTGGACAATATGAAAAGAAATTACTTTAGCCAAACTTGCAAACAACATGAATATTGTGTATACAAGTGATGTATATATCATTTTATCAAATATTTTCTTCTTTAGTATACATGAGAACTTTGTTTTTTACTATAAATAGTAAGGACCCCATATGAGCTAAGCCTTGATCACACTATATATCCTTACTCAAATTAGATATGTTTGACTAGTCAAAGGTTGAAAGTTTCTTCACATAAATCCATAATTTTGTAATTTTGTTATGTTATGTATTATTTATTTTAGGAAAAAAGATCTGATATACCCTTCAAGTTTGTCATTTAGAATTGATATACTTCTTGTTATGAAAGTGACTCATATATACCCCTATTTGTAAACAAATGACTCACATATACCCTTTTCCTCTAATGGAAATGAATAAAAAAATAATTTTAATATAAACTTTTATTATTTTTTTCTAAAAAATATAATCTTATATGAGTAAATTTAATTCTCGTCAAATATATATTTTTTTGACTTTTTTTGTTTTAATGACAAATTTATAATTATTATTTTGATAATCAAATTTATTTATGTTTCACTAATATTTTTGTAAAACTTATTGTAAATGACCAATTTTTTTCTTCGAAATTACGAAATTAAATTACAATACACACACAAAAAATAGTATTTTTTTCTTTAAACTAAGGAATGTAGGAAAAAAACAAAATAAGAATAAGAAACTCAAATAATTATAATAAAAGAAGTCAAAAAATAATTTATGTATGAAATAATTAAAATATATACCTTGAACTTTGATAGAAGAATCATATATACCCCTAAATATTTTTTAAAAAAAATTAGAAGTAATAAATATAAATTTAAAATTAATTTTTTAACTTCCGTTAAATGAAGGATATATGTGAGCCATTTTGTAACGGCAGGGATATATGTGAGCCGTTTGTATAACGGTAAGGGCATATATGAACAATTTTTATAACGAGGGGTATATCAGATTCAAATAACAAAGTTGAGTCGTATATCAGACCCTTTTCCCATTATTTTATACATATCTATCTTTTTTAAAGCAAATATACTTTCAAAAAATATAATATCTTAATACATCGATTTTAGTTTTAATATAAATATTATAATAACTGTACCTCGATATCAAGTCCGCTGAGAATTTAATATATAAAATTAAAATTATGTTTTATCGTTCTATTTAAGATTATTTCAATTCAAAAATCATATATTCTATTTTGAATTTTTTTTAAATATATTATTTCTTGATCTCATATTTGATATTCGATTCTATCATAAAATTCCCGATTTCGTCATTTAACGTAGAAGCAAGCTAGCTTTAGTAGTAGCTGAAATACACTAGTCAGTTTAGTTGAATATTTCAGATTCAGAAATAATTTTAAATTTTAGTTGAATATTTCTTTCTGTGAGTTTCGATAAATTAAATTAAAAATCATTTGCATTAATAAGTAGGCCTTGGTTTTAGGGATAACAACAAAGTGGCTGATCGTTGCTGCAAAGTCTTCAAGTAGATAATTAAGGACATAATATTTTATGAAATACACAAAATAAAAATGAGTATATATATTTTAATTTTTAAATAATTTAACAAAATCTGTGAAATTTAGCAATTATAAATATCTATCATAAACAAAATATTCCCCGTCACCAAAAAAATATGTTGGCTTTATTGCAAAGTAGGATTAATTTGTCAACTATATACAATTATGAATCAAAGAAATAAGCAATCCTTAGATAAAGGTCAACATGGAATAATGAATTCCAAATTAGTTTTTTTTTTTCAAAAGAAAATACATTTTTTGTACATAGAAATTTATAATTATATTTATCTATATGTAATTGATATTAAATTCTTTTAATTTTGTCGTGTACTTACTTCTTTATATTTTAAATCATTCTTATAGAAATCTTAATTTTATCACCGATTTTAACCTGATAACTATGAATTGATCTATGTAAATTATAATATATATCATTATTGCCTCTTTACTAAAATGGGAAAAGGGTATGATATACCCCTCAACTTTGTCATTTGATGTTGATATACCCCTCGTTATAAAAGTGGCTCATATATGCCCTTACCGTTATACAAACGGCTCACATATATCCTTCATTTAACGGAAGTTAAAAATTAGTTTTAAATTTATATTTATCACTCCTAATTTTTAAAAAAAAATTATTTAGGGGTATATATGATTCTTCTATCAAAGTTCAAGGAATATTTTAATTTATTTCATACATAAATTATTTTTTGACTTCTTTTTTTATAATTATTTGAGTCTCTTATTCTTATTTTGTTTTTTTCTTTCATTCCTTAGTTTAAAGAAAAAAATTTAAACTATTATTTTTGTGTGTATTGTAATTTAATTTCGTATTCGAAGAAAAAA